GAAAAGAAAAGAAAAGAAAAGAAAAGAAAAGAAAAGAAAAGAAAAGATATTCTTTCAACAAAGATCAAAGCTCTTCTGTGAACATAACACTGATTTTGTATATGTTATTTATCAATGTCAGTACTTGCTTCTATCATCTTTTTTTCTTTTCTTTTCTGATCCCAGATGAGATGTAACAGCTTTCCATTTAGAAAAGTACCTTAGGAGTAGGAATTCTGATGGGCCTTTACAAAGGCACTGGATAGCCCTGGATTCAGCTGCTTTTGCAGTATCCTGTATATCCTGAATAGCAACATTTGTCATAAACTTGATGATGCTTCTGTCAGTTTCTGATAAATCTGAATGAATTTTTCATTTTTATATGTGGTCTCTCACTTTTCACCTCTTTTCATGGAAAACTGAATATAGTAAAGAGTACCATTTTTTAGGTGTAGTTTACTATATCCCATTATTAAATAAGATACTTTTTTTCTACACTTTTTTTGTTACTATTTTTTTTGTATTCAGAAATTGTTGAATCTTACTGTGGACATTATTAAACTTTGAGAATGTCTGCTTTGTAATAAAAAAAATGTTAGCTCATAGAACTATGCCCACAATAATTTTATTTTAATATAACTATAGTGGTATACAATTGAACTTGGGCTATAAAACCTGCTTGAGAGGCTAAGAAAAAATGCTGAAAGTGCTTAGAGCTATTTTAGAGAATGTGACTCTCAAGTCTTCATGTACAGTTCATTTGAACAAAGATTTACATAATTGCAAACTGGATACACTTTCATTCTTGGTATTTCTGCTCCTCTGGACCTACAACTTTCTTTCTGTAAGTTGTCTGCATTTTCTGGAGCCTACTTCTGTCCAATTTCCTGAAAAGAGATAGTGTATGTCAATGACCCTTTTCAATGAGGAATACTGCAAAAGACAACATATTTTTCAGTGTTTCTTTTCCATCTTGACTTGCCTCCTTTATGTCTTGATAATGAAACCGACCTTAAGACATGTAAAAGTATCTACAAGTAAGTATTTACAAAAGCGTTAAGTTGTTTAAGTTCTAATTGTAGTTAATGGACATATGGTTGAATTCCATTCCCTGTTTCTTGAACACATAAATAATTTTTCGCTGCTTTTTTTAAAGCCTTTGAATATTGCTATATAGAAGGTTTCTTAACCTTTTTAGTATCTTCCTCTTTTTTTATCCATTTCATTTTCTATTTCCCTCTGATGAGTTTCTTTGATGTGGAAGTATTTTTCTTAAAGGCATTTTTTTAAGCAGCAACCAAACCTTAAATTTGGTCACTTTTTTTTTGCCTACTTTTTTTATTTTCTTGTCTCACAGTGTGTGATTATTGTCTCTGGCGACGCAGAGTATAGACTATGTGAAGGAAGTTACACCTCCCTTTCCAGGCTGTGTGAGCATAGGAGAGGGTTGGCACTGCTGCCTGATTCGACAAGGTAGTTCATGGCTGTGCTTTCATGCGTTGTGCTTTTGTAGCTTAAGAAACACTTAGTTCTGGCTGGGCTGGAGTTAACTTTCCCCAGAGCAGCCCACACAGTGCTGTGCTTTCTATAAGTAGCTAGAACGGTCTTGATAACACACCAGTATTTTGGCTGAGCAGTGCTGGCACAGCATCAGGGTTGTCTCTCCAACCCCATCCCACTCACTCTGCAAAGGCCAATAGAATGGGGGTGGGCAAGAGGCTAGGAGGGAACATGGCCAGGACAGATGACCCCAACTGACCAAAGGGATATTCCATATCATATGGCATCATGCTCAGCAATAAAACCTGGGAGAAAGGATTGGAGTGGGAGGAGGCATTCATTATTCATGCATTTGTTTTCCAAAACAACTGCTTTGTGTACTGAGGCCCTTTGTCCCAGGGAGTAGCTGAATATTGTCTGCTAATGGGAAGTAGAGAATAAACAAGAGGAGGAGTGAGAGAGAAGTTTGGTGGGCAGCTGGTGGCCAGCCTAGGTCAAAGCATCACAATATTTTTCCCTGTTGGATATCACAAATGTTTCTTCACTTTTCAAACTACATAACTCCCACTGTTCTTAGAGGTTTGCATCTATCCAGAACAGCTACTTCAAATTTTTGTTTGTGTCAGAAACTGAGGAGTCAGATGTTACAGATCACTGTAGGTAATTTAAATTACTAAGGAAGTGTGAATACCTACAAAAGGTGATTCCACATTCATTCATATGGAGACCTGAGCAAAGCTAGTCAAACACTGTCATCAGTTCATGTCAAACATTTCTCGTCTTATGTACCATTTTCCTTTTCTCGGAGGAGCTTAAAACTTTGGAGAAGGTTTCTCCATTGACAGCATTTGTTTTTCTGGTGGGTTTTTTTACATGCAGAAGAAACTCTGGTTAATTTTTTGTTTGTTTTAGCATTGACTAGTATTGAAACTTCCTAGTAGAAATTTTCTTGATTACAAGTATTGCTAAAGATAATTCTAAGACTGTAAGGTAAATTCTTACAAATTAAGGAAAAAGAGAAACATTATTTAATTACTCATCCACCCTTCTCTATTAATTTTTATGGTAATTTCAGAGTGCTGATTTCAGACTGACTCCACTTGTGGTGAAAGCAAAAACCCATCCAGATGCTCAAAGGAAGCTGTCTTGGATTCTTGAATATTTCCAGGAGTCACGTCACATTTCCTGGAAATTGGCTTGATAGTACATGTCTGTCGTGGTTTCCAGGATTCAAGCCAGGCCAGGGCATCATGTTGGAGTTGCAACAGAGATAGACTCTTCACTGTAACCTGGTTCTTCTCTGTTTATCTTTTGCAACATCAATATTTGTAAATCATCGTACTACAGAAAGGATGTGGCCATGGCTGCTGGGAACTGATACTGAAGAATCTTAAGTACAAACAGTATGGAGGACTGGCTGTGAAATGCTGTGTGAGATATTGGTCTCAATAGTTATTTCCACTTTCTCATGCTCTCAGGGACCTCCCCACTAATGCCCATGGGAACCTCAAGAACTGTTGTCCTTCTAGTCTGCCCCTTAAGCGTATTTTTCTCCATTTTGGCCCATCTGTTCAGTCACTCAACCTTTCCTCCTTCCTTTCCTCATCTTGCATTCTTTTTTAAGTTTTCCTGTTCTCTGTCAACTGTCTGCTCACCTTTCCTTTATTTGCTTGGCTTTATTCTTCTTGTCGTCTCTCTCTCTGCTCTCATGACTCCTGTGCTTTCAGAATCTCCCTCTCTCCTACACATGATAACAGCCCCATACTGCAAGTACTCTTCATGCTTTCTCATGGAAACCCTCATCTAGGGCACTGCCACAGGAATCATCTGCAGCCCTGTCTGCTCAGAGGAGTGTTTGCTGACACCATTGTCTCCACACTCTGGACATTTCATTGGACTTGCAGTGGGAATAGCAGGGCCTGTAAGCATTCACTTTCCTCATAAGAAATTATCATTTCCATTGATCACAGCACTAAAGGGGTTTGCTTCCCAAAGGATTTGTGTTTCACATTTGACCTACTTTTAAAACAAATCACTCAGGATAGGATTAGTTTGTTTAGTTGGTTTGTGCCTATGTTCTCTCTATTGCTCCACCTGAATGCACCAACACATAGCCAGGTCCTCTGGCTTTTCTCAGCCTGCAGGTAGGATAAGAGATACAGGAGTTGTGGTGAGCCCTAAGCCATTTACATGACCAGTCCATACCTTCTGCACAATAACCAAGCAAGTGGCTCCAGCACCATATCTGTAGGAACTTTCTACCTCCAGAACCTCCACCCTCTCCCAGGCTGGTCTTCTGAAGACAGGTGTGGTAAAATTCTCTCTGCTCTGAATAGACCTCAATATTGAAGGTGCTGGAAGGAACACATATTTCAAACTGATTGCGTGAAGAATCAGACTAGAGGAAACGTATATTCTTGTGTAAGCAGAATTTCCTCATATTTCATTAGAATAGGACGTAAAATAGAATCTTTTAGGATGAAACTCCACAAACTGTATGCTTTTTCTGCTTTGCTTTTCTTTTTCTCCCCTGGCCAGCCTCACGAGCATGTGTCTACCCTTCTACATAGGGAAGGGCCCCAGAGGAGACTCAAACACTGGGTTTCTATACTCCTCAACTCTTAGCTCACTGCCTAGTTCTCTCCCAGAGAGAGAGCTATAAACCTAATCCATCCACCTAATCAATGTGTCAGATAAAAAATACGGTCACATAGTCTATAGTACAGAAAGCATCCACTAAATACTGACTTAGCATTATCAGTTCTAACTCTCTTAGTCTGTACAGTTTATTGTCTTTGCTCTTAGGCTGTTAGTGCAGAATGCTACCAGAAAATGTTACCTGAGACAGTGACTAATTTGCTTGAGTGGCTCTGGGAAAATTACTACTGCCTATAACACACTTCCAGAAATAAAACTTTGGATTTTACTCATCGGGTGATGTGATGATAAACTAATACTTACATATTGCAGACATATGGAGAGTACCATATGCTTGCTAAGCCTACCAAAAGGCATGGAACTAGGATAAAAACCTTACAATGCATGCCAAGCCATGAAATATTACTATCAAATTGCTGCTTAAATATGACTAGTTCAGTTTGTAGA